TCTTTAATACTTGCAGCATGTTAAAATAAACTCAATTTCTATATAATAAAAACTTGTTTCTTAAACAATGAAAAAAAATTGTTGAATGATTGGTTGGAAAAAATTAAAAAACAATCGATGGGATCCATTAGTCATACTATTTGAAAGCTCTTGAAAAGACTTTTCAAACGCGCCCTCGGGCTACTCTGTATATTAATTTTTAGCAAAGACATTGAAGTTTAAAGTTTTGACTAATTTTGCAGCGGGGGACCTAAAGTAGGTGACCGTCAGTGTATGAAGAGCAGGAGAGAGAAAAGATATAAAATTTTGCGATTGACTGAAAGAGGGACTGGCGCGAAAAGCGAAAATTACGTACAGTCAGGGTTTTTGAATTTATCTTTTTTTTTTTTTTTTTTTTTATTTCCACGTTTATTTACAATCTGTCTCGTCTGTCTCGCCGTTTGAGACAATAAGTAAATTTAAGTAAATTTAATTACATTTAGCGAAGTTTACATTATTCTAGTCAGGATACTCCTTTGAGTTTCTGACTTTGTTTTACATTATGATTAAGAGACTATATATTCAATTATATATCCATCGGATTACGTGCTTAATATTTTATGTTTCTTTAGACTGGTATTTGTGATGGAAGTCTTGAGAAGATTGTTGACGAGTTCGTTAGGATGCTTATGGAGTCTTGCATTATATTTTCCGTAGAATGATTTAATTTCTTCTTTGACTGATGAAACTTGTAGATCATTTCTAATTATTTCGTTTGTGACGAACCATGGGGCTCGGACTATGTTACGTAACACTTTCGATTGGAATCTTTCCATTATTTCAATATTCGAGATTGAAGCAGCGCCCCATAGCTGAATACCATAAGTCCAAATAGGTTTGAGTACCGTTTTGTATAGCAACAGTTTATTTTCGATCGTCAGCTCCGATTTTCCTCCCATGAGCCAGTACATTTTCCTCCATTTCAGTCCTAGTTGTTTGCGTTTACTAAATATATGTTCTTTCCATGTAAGTCTTCTGTTTATGTGTATGCCTAGGTACTTTACTTGATTGCTTTGAGGGATGTATTTATCGTTTAATTTTATAGGTGGACAGGTATCTTTCCGAAGTGTAAACGTAGTATGTGTTGATTTGCTTTCATTCACTGTTATTCTCCAAGAGTGAAGCCATTTTTGAAGATAGTTGTCTATGTATATTTGTAGTATTTCTGATGCTATTGCCGGCTCTGTGTGTACTGTTAAAATTGCTGTGTCATCTGCATATGTTGCTGTTAGAATGTTATTGGATTTTGGTAGAACCGCGGTATAAAGTAAATAGAGTATTGGGCCAAGAACACTGCCCTGTGGCACGCCTGCTGTTATGAGCTGTCGTTTTAATTTAATATTATTTATTTTAATTTGGAAGGTTCTATTTTGCAGGTATGACTGTAGTATTTCGTAGTGTTGTACAGGAAAACATGATTTCAGTTTATGTAGTAGTCCCTCATGCCAGACTTTATCGAAAGCCTGTGCAACATCAAGGAAAATGCCAGTGCAGTACTTTTTTTCTTCGATTGCCTTTCTCGCAGTAAGTGTTATTCGGTTTACTTGTTCTATAGTAGCATGATTACATCTGAAGCCAAATTGATGATCTGGGATAAGTTTTCTGTTTAATATAATTAGGTTAATTCTGGCTAAAATTAATTTTTCTAAGATTTTGGAGAATATGGGTAGAAGGCTAATCGGTCTGTATGAAGTCACAAATTCTGGTGCTTTACCAGGTTTGGGAATCAATATAATCTCCGCTATTTTCCATTGTGTGGGAAAATGGCGTAGGCGGAGGCATGCATTAAAAATAATTGTAATAAATCTTACTGCTATAATGGGTAACATTTTAATCATTTTTCCGGTAATATTATCAGATCCGGGGGCTTTTTTGTTTTTAATATTTTTAATTATTTGTAATACTTCCTTTATTTTTATCGATTTGATAGGAGTTCTATCTTGAACTTCCGTAGTTTCAAGTAAGGTATCTTCTTCTTGCTCTGTGATAGTTCTTTTATGAGGGGTGAATACTGTGCTGAAGTGATCCGAGAATGCTTCTGCTTTTTCCTCGTCTGTTTTAGCCCAATTTCCTGCCGGTTTTCTAATTGGTGGTATGAACGTTACTGGTCTTTTGAGACGTTTATTAGCTTTCCATAGCGAGTAGTCTGTTGCTTCTGTCGGGCTCAGATTTTGGAGATAGTTCTGCATTTGTTTATTTTTTTCTTCATATAACATTTTTTTCAGTTCTTTGGCTGCTTTGTTTACTCTTGACTTATCTTGGCTTGATCTGGTTGCTTGGTACCTTTTTCTTATTGCTCTTTTTTCTCGAATTTTTTGATCGATTTCGCTCGAGTTTCTTATCCTTGTTTTATTTCTGTTACACTTAGTAGAACATTTATCGATAGCTTCGTTAAGAAGTGAGTTAAACGAATCTATGCTGCTTTCTATGTTTATGACTGTTTTGAGGGGAACATTGCATGATATGCGTTCCTCTATATAACGGGTATATTTCTTCCAGTCAACTTTATTATAATTTTTATCTGTGGTTGTTACTTGTGATAATAGTGTGATTAATATCGGCGAGTGGTCTGAGGTTAAGTCTAAGCATGACGATGTTTTAAAGTAATTTTTGCTTATTCCTTTTACTATTGCAAAGTCTATTAGATCTGGAAGCTTTTTAACGTCTGCTGGCTAGTATGTTGGTTCTCCCGTGGATATTGGAGTGTAGTTATTTGCTTGCAGTATTTCGTACAGAACTTTTCCTCTGAATGTTGGAGTTGGTGATCGCGATCCCCACCATGGGTGTTTAGCATTATAATCGCCTCCTGCTATAAAGCGGTTTCCCAGTGAATGAAAGAAATCTGTCCAGTTTTCTTTTGTTATTGTTTTATTTGGGGGACAGCAGATAGCTGATATAGTTATCGGTCCATATTTATCCTTGATGACTACACTCGTCGCTTGTAGGTAGGTTTCGGTAGTCTGTGAATGAAAGTAATGATTTATTTTTGTTTTAATTATAATTGCCGTACCTCCGTGTGCTTTATTAAGTGGGTGGTTTGTTGTATATACTGTGTAGTTTGGGATGCTGAGATAGTTCTTGCTTGTGAAATGTGTTTCTGATACCAGTATGATGTCTATGTTTTCATGTATTAAGAATGCTTTCAACTCCAGATGTCTTTGCATAAGGCCGTTTGCGTTCCAGATAGCGAGTTTTAAGCTGTTCATTGTGCTATTTTATTTACTAATACTGTTAAGAGATTAAGCATAGAGTCCATTCTCTGCATCAGCTGCTCCATCATGTGTTCAAGTTTATTTGTGTTATTGTTGTTATTGTCGCCGGAGTGTTTGCTTCGCTCGGACTGGGCATTTAATTCGTCTGTTTCTACTGTTACGTTTTGATCGTTTTGTTTTGATGTTGTTTGAGCATATGTTGTGTTCGGTCTAGTTTTGTTGGCATTTCAATTTGAACTGTTATTAGTATTAGTATTTATTTGAGCTTGTTTACTGTTTGTAACTAGTATTTTTTCTCTTAATTTGGGAAACAGTTTTTGCTGCAGTTGTTTGCGAATCGGACATCCTTTGTAGCTTGCCGTATGATTTCCTTGGCAGTTTGCACATCTTACTTCTGCAATTCTTTCCATTATAGGACAGTTTTCCGTTGCATGTTGTTCTGCACATTTAACACAAATTGCACTTTTGTAACAATAATTTTTTGTGTGCCCAAGTTCTTGACATTTATGGCACTGTGGAATCTCTCTTTTAACATTCGGCGGTTCGAACTTTATCACTGTGTGTAATAGCTTGGTTACCTTGTAGATGTCTTGACTTTTGTAGTCATGTTCGATTTTCACCGCGAATAGTGGTAGTGGAATTTTTGTCACCCGATGTCTAATGTTCCGGATGTTCAACACCTTATGTCCGTATTCTTCGATGGAAGTTTTTAACTCCTCAATGTCAACTGATGGGTGGATACTTCTTAGAATAACTTTGAATCCCTTCTCTTCTTTCCGCTGATAGGTGTAAAATTGTGTGTTTTTTTCTTTGAGTGCTTTGATAATTGGCAAATATTTTTCCGAGATTGTCGGCTGGATTTTAACTTTATTTTGTCCAATAACTTTTAGTGTATAATTGTCTTTAGCTATTGTATTTAACATGTTTTCTAGTGGTTTGATATTTTCTACATTGTAGACGAAAATCGGAGGAGATTTGTTATTTAACTTGTTTTCTTCATTGTTCACTATGTTTTCTTCTTCACTTTGATTTTCTTTATTGTTTTGGAGTATTTCGTATTTATTGTTTGTATTGCTTAGCCAGTAGTCGGTTAATTGTGTTTGTTATCTTTTAAATTTAGTTAGAAATTCTGGACTGCTTCGGCGTCTTTTATTATTTACAGTATTCCATTTTTCAATTTGTTGTTCATTTAATGTTGTTAAATTTTCCCCACTTTGAGTGGCCATTTCAGCCGTTGTTTTGTTTTTGTTTTGCTGTTCTGTTATGGTTATTTTGAACTGTAACTGTCACTTTACTTGATTGGCTATTACTATGGATTTTCCGGTAGAGCACAGTGGTTTCACGTCTGCTCACCTCAAGGAACAAACGCTGACTGGATTTATCTTTAAAACAGAAAAATATTAGTTTTTCTACATATTTTAAGTTTTTATACCCTTACATATTAAGTTTATTATCTAAATCGATACATATCCGAGTAGGGATATTTTTATACCTTATTTTAACAAATATCTAGTAAATCGTTGCATAGACAGATATATTAATATTTGCATCTATAACGGCCTATTTTTTAAGTTTTGTAAGAAGAACAAATACTGGAGCATTTTTTATTTTATTTATTTATACATTTAAGAAGTATTTGCCATAACATATATCTTCCGAAGGATGAGTAGGTCAATGATATTAATTTTATTATTATTTATATTTTAACTGGAATTACTGTAAATATTAGTTAATTATCAATATATACAGGTTGATAAAGAAGACGAAACCCCAACATTGTTCAGAGCAGCTAGTCTTACAACGACGCTCATGGATTTATACATGAAGTCAGTATGTACCTCGTTCTTAAAATCGGCATTGCAGGATACTATAAATAAAATAATTGAAAGTAAACAAAGCTGTGAATTAAACCCCTCTAAAATGGATTCCCCGGAAGATGCTTGCAGTAATGCTGAATACCTACTTCAAGTGAGTAAAAACAGTTTATTAAATAATTCTGACAGCTCCTTAAAATAATAAATTATGTTTTCAATATATTCAAAAATGTTTACTATATATACGAGAATCATTCAATAAGTCTGTGACTTCTCAAAAGATCATGGTGTTATTGCAATGTATTTTGCATTGTATGAAAGTCCCATCTAGTATAAGTGCATATACAAAGATTGAAGTTAGTACTTTGGTTTGGAAATTTTTTAGTCATTTGAATTTAGTTTTTCATTATATAAATAAAATCATGGAAAGAAAATGAGTTTTGTGTGCTTATTACACATTATTTCCTACGGGGAAAGTCAATCACAGAAACTGAAGAAAAGCTCAGAAAATATTATGGAGACTCTGCTTCATCGCATGGTATATTTCAAAATTGGTTTACTGAATTTCGTTGTGGTTTCAAAAGCACAAGTGATGCTGAGCGTCCTGATCATCCAGAAGAGGTGACTACTTAAGACATGATTGATGAAGTTCATAATATTTTACTCGCAGATCGTCAATTGAAAGTGCGTGAGATTAATGAGGCTCTTAAAATTTTAGTAGGATGTACATGAAACATTTTACATGAATGTTTGGGCATGAGAAAGTTGTGTGCAAGATGGGTGCCACGCTTGCTTACAGTTGATAAAGATCAAGCTCGTGTGGTTGCATCTGAGCAATGTTTGAGCATGTTTCAACGTAATCCAAAATAGTTTTTACGATGCTACGTTACTGTTGATGAAACATCGATTTATTATTATTAATTGATTCCATACTTGAGAAAAAGCGGCCCTATCTGATGAAAAGAAGATTTTTTCCACAGCGACAATGCAGCAGCTCACACGACTTCCATTATAACGACCAAATTATTTGATTTACGCTACGAAATACTTTATCATCCACCTTGTTTTCCATATTTGGCCCCTTCCAATTATTTTTTGTTTCCAGACATGAAAATTTAGCTTGTGGGTAAAAGATTTTGATACAACGAAGAGGTAATTCCTGCGACAAATGAGTATTTTGAGAAGCTTGATAAAAATTATTTTTCAGATGGTATAAAAAAATTTAAGCACCGCTATAATAAATATATAGAATTAAAATGGGACTATGTAGAAAAATAAATCATAATTATTTAAATAAATACTGTTTTTTTATTCAAAGTCACGGACTTATTGAACGATCCTCGTACATGCAATACTGCACTCATGAAATCTAACATAGCATTGTAAGGTTACGGTAATTATCCACGACATCGGATGTATTGCTAGATTGAGAATCGGAAACCTTGAATAATTGCGCCTACGTTCCGACAAAAATCGCACTCGACGGCCCGTGGGCTTGATGTTGAAGCCTCTTCCACTTTTCTTGTAAATTTTAAGGTTCATTCTTTTCAAAAAGATGTTGTGTAGCATTAGATCGTTGTGAAATCATTGATGCATTTCAATCATGACGATGATAAAGATTTCACTTGCATATTCATACTCGGACGAATTTCGTACAACACGAAGAAAAAATCACTGCGATTCGCATTGGACATATAAAGCCCGGATAAGGGTCAGTCCGAATCCGCTTAGTTATTAGAATAATTTATCTATTTCTGTTGTTTTCATGTAAGTCTCGTTATATCATACTGGGACATAGCATATCAGTGATACCTAGCCGAGACTTTATCAGTTTATTTTTGAATCAGACATATGATGTCTGTTTAAAAAGTATCGCGAATTTTGAATTTCTGCGGGCTACGTTAATTTGGTTTTTTGATTTTTTTGTAGCGTTATGTTGGTATTCATGTCTCTTACTTATGCTGACAAGGTCGGCCATTTTGTATGTTTAGTTAATTTTTGACAGCTGTTTTGCTTGGATGTATTTTGGTTCGTCTTCGATTTTTGCCTATTCTAAAAAATGGATCAAAGAGTCTGTATCAAATTTTTTGTGGAAAACAAAACAAAGTGTGCAAACGCATTCCGAATGTTGACTGTGGCATATGATGAAGCTACCTTGGACCAAAGAATATTTTATTTAATAGTTTATCGGTCGTACAAAATGTTCTCAGAGGGTCGAGAAGATATGAAAGACGAACAACGTGCCAGATACCCGAGCACGACAACAACAGACGAAAACATTGATTAAGTGAAGAAAACAATATTGGCTAATCGTCGAATCACCGTTAGAGAAGTTTTTGAGGATCTGAACATATCGATTGTCTCATGTCATTCGATTTTAACCAATGATTTGGACATGAGTCGGGTCGCCGCGAAATGCATGCCAAAACTGCTCCATTTCGACCGAAAACAGCATCGCGTTAACATTACTTAGAAGATGTTGGACTCGGTCCGTGACGACCCAAATATTCTCCAGAGGATCATAACTAGTGATGAATCATGGGTTTATGGTTTTATCATTTCTTCTCCCTCTGCGTTTAACACTTTAACCTTGGCCTTTATTTCTTCTAGGTTTTCTTCTGTCTCCCATTCTCTCCCTTCATTTCCTGTTCTTGCGTTGAAATCACCTCCTATAATTATGGTTTTTCCTCTGTTCTCCTCTATCTCTTCGCTTAGGTATTCATAGTTTTACTTTTTTTCATGATGCGTATATACCGTTTCTATAATGTATTTCCTCCCTCCGATCTTTATTTCTCCTGCTATTACCTCACTTGACCTTTCTTTCTTCCATCCAACCTTACTCATCCTTTTCCTCTCTATTACCGCCATTATTCCACCCCCTATTTCTCTTCGTTTTCGTTAACATTGCTTAGAAGATGTTGGACTCGGTCCGTGACGACCCAAATATTCTCCAGAGGATCATAACTAGTGATGAATCATGGGTTTATGGTTATGATGTGGAAATCAAAGCTGAATCATTCCAATCGAAGTTGCCGCATGAGTAAAGACCGAAAAAAGCGCGCCAAGTTCGGTCGAACGTAAAGGTTTTGCTCACAGTTTTCTTCGATTACAGGGGCATCGTGTATCATGAGTTCTTGCCACAGGGTAGCACAGTCAATAAGAAATATTATCTGCAAGTTATGTACAATTTACACGAAGCAATCAGTCAGAAACGTCCGGATTTGTGGAAGAACAAAAACTGGCCTTTGCATCATGATAACACTCCTGCTCATACATCGTTGCTTGTGCACGAATATTTAGCCAAACACAACACAGCAATGGTGCCGCAGCCACCGTATTCCTCAGACCTGGCCCCTGTAACTTTTTCCTGTGCCCAAAACTGAAGAGGCCCATGAAAGGACGACGCTACGCCGTGATTGAGAAGATAAAGATGGCATCGAAGGAGGAGCTAAACAAGATCACAAAAAATGATTTTTTTAAGTGCTTCGAGGATTGGATAAAACGTTGGCACAAGTACATTAATCCGAGAGGTATTACTTTGAAGGAGATAAAATAGATATTTATGAATGAATAAATAATTTTTGAAAACTGTAACAGGACGGATTAACTAGTACAAGAGGGATTTATTAAAGCACAAACTCCCACGATGCAGAGATAACCGCCGCTCCGTTAAACACGTATGAATATACGTGTATTCGCCTTTACGTTTGATACTTTCGTTTCTATGTCTTTTTCCAACCGAGTTGAACTCACCTTAAGTCACCTGACTTGTGACTCTCGATCTATCTTACATGTAAGTGACCTAATGCTTATTCCAACTAATCCCCTAGATAAAATCGGTTTTAAAGTTAACCAATGATAGATTTGTTAAACTAATAGGAAACGAAATAACGTAATGCGACGAATAAAATTAATATTGTTTATGACTAGAAAATTACTGTCTTTGATGGGCCGAAAGACTAACGAACGCGAATAGGATTTACAATGATTAATAATAATACGGGGAGAGCGAGACAGAATTCAAAACTCTGCTGCGAAAACTAACGCTCGGCGCGAATACAAAATTAACAGTCACGATAGACAATATATTCTCGTGAATGCAGCTACCCTGCGGTGCAAATACGGTGATCAGCCTTAATTGTTGAAACAAATCACCTGTTGGTGCTCCTCAGGAAAAGCTGCGCTGCTTCGCTCACGAACAATTATTACTTCAATAAATGCTGCTACTCGCTTGCTGCTGGGTTTTGCTGCTGCGGTTATTATTGATTGCTACCATTCTCGCACTTATCAAAAAAACAGGAAACTTTTGATTTGCAAAACGGTAAAACACAGTGAAACTAATTGGCGATACTTTTGCAAGTAAGAGCTGAGGCTTAACTGAAAACTTTGAACTCTTGCGCGCCTCTTCTCTCTCTTATTCGTCCGCTCTAGTATCGCGAGTGCTATCGAATCGCGAATGGATCGATTGATCGAATCGACAACCGTTGCAGCCCTCTCCAAGTCCTGACTACCCGGACAGGACGAATACCCGCGATTCGCCATTATCAGGAACCTGAAAAAAGAAAGGGAGGAAAGGAACCAAATGATTAAAATCTTTCCTCTTTTCTTTAGGGCTACTTTATTGTTTGCCCTCCAGGGTCTACATCATTTCTTGACTACACCTGGCGCTCAGTGTTTCGGATAGCGCCAGTGTGTAGCCTTCTTCGGGTACCGCTGGGAGTTGGTCACCCCAGGCTCCCCACAGATGAAGCAGTCCCTCAGCTACGATCGGGATTAAGCAGCCTCCCGATCTTGTTGGGTTTGCCCGGCAGACCGAGGGGACAGCTGGGCGCTGACTCCCTGGGAGGCAGTGATCGTCAAGCCACCCAACGTGGTGGTCACACGTTCATCTTGCGACCTGACCACGATTGTGGTGTCGTGAGCCACACGCCCGTCCACGTGGACCATCCAACGGCGGTTTAAAAAGCGTTTCAGGTGCTCCTGGACCTGAGACTGGAGATTTACTGTGAACCGCCAGGCACTCTCTACCTTGTTTAGCCCTAGATGTACATGTCTGAATAGTCGGACGTCTGGGGTACGCCGGACTTAAGGGTCTGCACGCCCTGGTCCACGGTGGACTTGGAACGCTTGACCTCTTCCTGGTCCTCCGTCTGT